TATTTTAAATACGTAACGGCGGTACATGTATTCCGTTACTCCCCAACACTGACAACAAGGCACTTTAAATTGTAAGGTAAAGACCCTAAACCACAACAATCATATGCGTGGAGTTCCCTTCATGCAGGAAACAAAACAAGCTCTTCACCTTTCAGCACTGTGGGTAGTAAGCCTGCACTGATGCAGTCTCAGTGTTGGAAGGATTCATAACCCACTCACACTTAAGGCTAGTAGGGTTGGAATGACACTTAATGTGGCGGAGCCTCCATGTAAATGTGCGAGTGCACCGAGAGGCTGTAGGCTGCAGATTAGAATTGGGCTTTAGTGCTCAAAAAAGAACAGAGACTCGTGTGGAGGTAGAGTGTGCGCATTAACATTTAAGAAATTACTCTTACATTCAGATTAATTGAGATACTTGCCTGACAGATGAGTGGACGGGCTAGTGTTTTTTTTCCTCTCGGTTTGCATCTGAACAAGCCACAGAGTGGCTAAATGTGATTGAAGTGAGGGACAGACGGCGAGAGACACCATGGAAATGCAAAATGTCCAGACATGCAGGGAAGCAGACAGACAGGCAGGCAGGCGTACCGTGTCTGAGCACAACTTCACAGTTCAGTGAGATGTAGGAAGACGCTTCAGGAAGAAAAGCAAAGGGAGTGTATATGTTTCATCCCCTCAGAGCTGCGGAGAGGTGGCCTCTGAGCCGGGTGACAGATTACAGGTCACTCATGTTGCCACGGAGATTGCCGAGGCTGGCGGAGATGAATCACCCATCAGCGTTCTTCTGTAAACCATCAATCACCTCTGACTTTTCACCATAGACACCGCAGCCCCACCCCACGTACACGCATACTTACACACACACACGCGCATTAGAAGAGGATACAGCACAAAATCTCGCAGGGGATGAGTTCTGCTGACGAATCAACTCGAACTCTGTGAGAACACCGCCCCCTCTTATAGCCTGCTCCTCTCTATCAGCCGTCCTCATTTCCTCTCTTTTTTCTCCCACTCCCACATATCACTTTACTTGTCATTTCACTGACAGCCTTCTTTTTTGTCACCTAGCTGCTCCTTTCTCACCTTTTTCTTTTCTTCTCTTCATCTGCGCGTCCTCTTAGTCACAGAGTTAATCTCCTCCCCATTGTGCTTTGTACCACAGCGGTATATCAGTCTCCTGTGTCTTGCTGGGCATTTTGCTACCCAGCACCACAGAGCAAGCAAATCACTGTTGACATTTTAAAAGGCAGTGGATCAAATGGCCCACAGTGGGCAGGGTATGTGGAAGCACCATTTGTTCAATGGCTTCAAAATCCCAGTAGACATTATCATTTGTCTCTGGTCTGGCCAGCTAAGAGGACAGGTTAAATCATAGTGACAAGTAAAAGCCACAACCATAAGTCTAATCAGCTTCTCGATGCCCTGGACTGTGTAAATGATTCATATCTCTTGTCTCTTTGTTTGTGCGTTCCTATTATTGACTTCCACAAAGTATGTGTTCTCACTTTCTCTAAACTTGAGTTCCTCTTTGCAGATATCGAACATTCGTTTCTGAGGATGCAGGCCCCAACACCCTGGTTGCAACAGTTCTGGCCAAAGATCCAGACGGCGATGCTATATTCTACTCCATAACAGCAGGCAACGAGGAAGAAAATTTTGTCATTGACAGCCAGAAAGGTGATATTTCTTAATTTTCCAACCAGGAGTCATATTATTCAGCTCTCATTGTAATCGATGGGCTTTCTGTCGAATTGCGCTTTCGAGGAACGGCCTCTATTTTCAAAGGCAGTGTGAAAAGATATTGAAAGCTGATAATAAAAGCTATATTTCCTATACGCGTGCTGCTCTTTCTATTATTAGGGTCATAAATAAAATCTATAACATTATTTAGGACATTTCTGTCCTTGGTTTGGCTTTTTCCAGGTACAGAGAGGAATGTTCCACATGTTTCTTAGCCTTCTAGCATTGATGACTGCACAGTTTATCTTTTTTATTTACCCTTTGATCCGAAACCAGTGGCAATCTCTGTGACATTTGTCACCCAACCCTTTCAATTCAATTTCACAACAACTGCTCTATCATAGTTCGCAATCTCCAAGCTCTGCTCCGCCAGCTCCTCTTTCTTTTGTGTCATCGTTTTATATTTCTTTCCACCCTTTCTGTGTATCCTCCGAGAAAGAAAATGCTAAGGCTGATATCCTTTGGGTGCGGGGAAATCACTATCACTATATGGTTTCCCTTTTACTGTATGTGCGACGAATGCCGTCTAGCTGAATAGCTGGTTGAGCTGGTGTTGCGTTTGTAAACAAGGCTGACATTTAAGGCGAGACAATTACTGCGCACATCCCACAGTTTGCGTATTTTAATGTAGCGGTGCAGCAATGTCATGCATTGTCATTAGAACCCGGATCCTTCCCTGCTCTGTGGGCAGGTGAAATTACAAGTAATAGAGGAGAGAGGGAAGTCAGGCGCTCTCATATGTGTGTATCAGCATGCTGTGTTGTCTTTAATCAAGAGCATTGAAGGGGATGAATAGAAACACAACAAGAGAATAAAAAAACTCCCCATGCTCTCACTTCAATGGGTTTTCCTCACATCACAGGCTGCTTGCTCATTCTGCAACCTCTGATCTTTTTGTATTTCTGTTGACGAGAAAGATGTTGACTCAGATGCTCCATCCTTTTATCCCACCTTTTATCTTGACTGTAACATGAAAGCAGACAAAGGGGGCAAGAGGAACAGCTAATAGGCATCTGCTGAGCCTTGTTAACTTCTGACCAGACTCACTGTACTGCTTTATGTTTTCGCTCAAGTGCTTTAGCTGGATGGGCATCTTTAGAGGAAAGCATGCAATTATTAGATTAGAAATGTGACAAAATCACTACTGTGAAATTGGTTTTTGGATTTAGTCTGTATATCAGATTTCTACCTTTCTGTGGACTTGAGAGCTGAATTCTCACTGCTCCATATCTTGCTTCCAACGTCTAGAACAACAGTATGCAGTATGCATTTTCTAGTGTGTTCTTATTGATAGCACATTCCTTACTATGCGTCCACTTCCTCAGCAGCAATAACATCCTACTTAACAGCTATAGAATGGTTGTATGTACTCTGTTAGTATAGACCATATACTATACAAGAAGTAATTTAAGTGGTCTGTGCTCTTTGCAGGATTGATTCGTCTCCGCTCGACTCCCCTGCCCAAGCTTCAAGGTTTGGAGTACGTCCTGAATGTAACGGCCACAGATGACAATGCATCAGGCGGACCACACCCTCTGTCTTCGACTGCCCGGGTCATCGTTGGGGTTGATGATGTCAACAACAACAAACCTATATTTGAGGAGGTGAGGAAGACAACCCTGGTACTTTTAGTACATTTCGTTTTTTACTTAATCCCTACAAAAAAAATGGTTAAATCCAAGAAGATAAACAAAAGTGGAAGTGGAAAAACACACGGAAGCTTAGCACAACTATAGGTGCAAAAGCAGGCAGATACCAGGGTAGACAGCATGACGGACAAAGGCTCGGGAGCTCAGAGGTGGGCAAAGGACACAGACGATCTGACAAAGACTTAATGGCAAAGACAAATTAAACACACAAGAAGGACGGGGTATCGAGGAGCAGGTATAACTAATTGGTCGCGGGTGAGAAAATCAGAAAGGAGGGAAGGAAAGTGAAACAGCTAAGGACAAAGAAGAAAAGTAGTGCCTTCAAAATAAATGTATTTATTAGGGGTACAACAATACTCTATCGATATTGAACCGTTCATACAGTGCTTTCGGTTCAGTACG